CGGACTGCGAAATGCACAGTCTTCTCGGTCTACACCCTGCGAAATGCTTAAGAAATCATGGGTTAAGAAATTCATAGTCTCAGAACTTTAACCAAAACCCAAGATTTCTATCAAAATCTTAAGATTTACATTGAAACGTTAAGAATAATCGAGACTCTAGCCGAAAACTTAAGTTTTCTTAAGCATCGCCTGAGGTGTACGGCTCTCAAAGCTACGACCGCCCCTCGTGGTTGGATGCGTTGGATTGGTTTCAGAGTGCGAGCCCTCTGGGCCACCCTACCTTGATTGTGGGCGAACTCAACTGGAGGGATCCGTAAAATGCCTTACTCAATATCGGTTGGAAGCTGGATGCATCAGAGGATGGTACTCCACATTTTGTGACTGCAGCGACGTCGTCGCCGTGGCGACGCCCGCGTTCGGAATGACCCTGCCCTCCTCCAACTGCCACGCGAGTGACGCGCGGGGGCGGTAGAAGCAGTGGTGCCCATCCGACTACAACAATGCTGGCCACGCGGCCCGCTGGCGTCAGCAAGCATCGCAAGTGGCCTTCTCACCTGCGACGTGTCCAGCGGACTGGCCACCGACACAGGACGCCTTCCGACGGGCCATCAACCACTCCAGGGGCTGCCCTGGACTGGGTGGTCGGTCATTTCAAGAAATCCGTGCACTCATGAAGTTGTTCCCGCGGCTGATGGATGAACTTTCTACGCTATGGAGGGACACGACAGCCGTCTGTGCACAATCACGCGGCCATCCACCAGCCGACCTACTCAATCGCCTTTTTGCGCAACGAGGGGGACACGCGCCCGATCAGTGCCGGGTCAATCCTCCGACGTATTTGGCTTCGATCGCTAGCATCATCTACGCCGAGGCCTCCCACGAACTAATGGGCCAACTGCAAGACGGTCAGCGTGGCCCGCGCCATCTCCTCCTGGCTACGGGACTGCGAGGAGAGCGCCGACGGGATTGAACTGGATCTGTCAACAGCATCTGATAATATTTTTCACGAGGTGGCGGACGCAGCGATGGTCGCAGCCTCTTTCCCTGACGCCGTTCGACACGTTTGTGGCGCAGCTTGGCGGGGCCCCCGCTGTTGCAGTCTGAACGGAGAGCTTGCTTCTCCGATCTATGCCACGAGAGGGCAGCCGCAAGGGGATTCGATCGCCCCTGCGGTGATGTTCGCCACACTCACGCCATGGCAGCCTTTGTCTCGCTCAGCTGCCTTTGTGAACGACCGTTCGCTGACGGCGCAATCACGTGATGAGTTGGACCAGGCCTTAGCCAGGCCAGCTATGTTTGACGCTGGTGTTGGACCCTCTGAGAATAACGAGAAGAGGCAGCGTTGGTCAGACTCTCAGGCACCGGTGGAGATCGAGCACCTGGGGATACTGGCTAGGCCGACAAACCCAGCTGGGGTATCTTACCGCGGCAGAGGTGGTCAAAGTTGGACATGGCGATTGAGATATTGAGGACAGTAAGTGGTACGCAGCAAGTTCGGATTCGTCTCGCCTTTGTCTATATACGACCGTTGTGGCTGTCGGCGTCGCCAGTAACTGTCACACCTCCACCAGAGACGGCCAGACGTCTCGCAGCCGCCATCTCTAATGCACAAACTACCTGGTGGTGCTTGTGGCGTTGGCCGGGACAACAAATTTCTTCAAGTTGTTTATTCTCAAAGGCACTGCATGGTTTTACCAAGATCCAAGACAACGGACTGGTTTGGAGCAGCTCCTTGGATACGACGTTTGCTCATTATACAATTACTTTGGGCGCTCGATCTATGTTACTCCGAGCAGCAGGGCGCCCTCCTGGAGGTTCCTGGGCCAGACGACTTCGGGGTCGACAGGGTGCTCGGACGCTTGATGGATGACCAACGACGGCTTTGGACAGGCTCCAAGGGAGCCCAACATGCCCTCACAGCAGTCGCTCGGATGCGTTGCTTGCAACAAGTGAGCAGACCCAGACAGGATGCGCAAGAGATTGATGATGTGGATGTGGTTGCTTCTTCCCATAAGGTCTACTCAACTTTGTACTTGAAGCTTTCGGTTCATGAGCGCGTATGTGTCTTGATCTTCCGCTCTGGGGCGGGTGCGACGGAGACAAGACGCCAGTCTGGCAAACCATGCAAGCTCTGCGACGAGCTCCACCCATTCATGCGGCATTTAATCTGCGAGTGCCCCAAGTTCCGTACAGCACGGGATGAACTGACGTTTCGCAACTATTTACCAGCTTTGTGTTGGTCTTCACTTCCCAGAGTGACTTTCAAGAGTGGCTGGGTGAGTTTTGCCCTTTTCAGTGAGCAGCATCGAGCGTGCCCGTTTCTTGATTGCTGTGTGTTCGTTGGGAATGCAAATTATCAAGTTGGGTTTGACCCATCTGCTACACGATCCTGGCGCCTTTCGGCGTGACGACGGTCCTCGTGTACAGTAATTGCCACGAGTGGATCTATCTCATCGACATAATGTTCCACATCGACGTGCGCGCGGGCCGCGAACCTTATGACGGGTGTGCCCAAATGGGCAGCACGGGCGCAGGTGGATGCCGCCACTAGGGGATTGGGTGGAGCTCCCTATGGGGCCCCGACACTTGTGAGGGGGGTGTCGGAATAGGCGGCGCGGACGAATGCGCACGTCGCCACAGGGGTCTTGGGTGGAGCTCCCTACAGGGTCATGAAACTTGTGAGGGGTGTGCCGAAACAGGCAGCGCGGGCGAATGCGGAAGTCGCCAGCTCCCTGTGTGTCCACGAAAATTGTGAGGGGTGTGCTGGCATGGGCTGCGCGGACGCATGCGGACGTCGCCACGGGGACGTTGGGTGGAGCCCCGTATGTGGCCACGAAACGATTGAGGAGTGTGCCGAAATAGGCGGCGGACGCATGCGGACGTCGACGCTGAACCCTTGGGTGGAGCTCCCGATGGAGCCACGAAACCTGTGAGGGGTGTGCCGGAATAGGCGGCGCGGACATATGCGGACGTCGCCACTGGGGCCTTGGGTGGAGCCCCATCTGGGGCGTCGAAACTTGTGAGAGGGGTGCCCAAATGGGCGGCACGGACGCATGCGGCCGTCGCCACAGGGGCCTTAGGTGGAGCCCCCTCTGGGGCCACCAAACGTGTGAGGGGTGTGCCGAAATGGGCGGCGCGGGCGCATGCGGACGTCGCCACTAGGGCCTTGGGTGGAGCTCCATATGGCCATGCAACTTGTAAAGGGTGCAATGGAATGGGCGGCACGGACGCATGCGGACGCCGCCACTGGGGCCAAGCTTCCTATGGGGCCACGAAGCGTGTGAGGGGTGTGCCGACATGAGCGGCGCGGGCGCATGCGGACGTCGTCACAAGAACCTTGGGTGGGGCTTCTCCCTATTGTGCCACGAAGCTGTGAGGGGTGTGCCGAAAGGGGCTGCGCGGGCGCATGCGGACGTCGCCACTGGGGCCTTGGGTGGAGCTCCCTGTGGGGCCACGAACCTTGTGAAGGGTATGCCGAAATGGGCGGCGCGGGCGCATGCGGATGTCGCCCCTCGAGCCTTTGGTTGAGCTCTGTGGGGCCACGAAGCTTGTGAGGTGTGTGCCGGAACAGGCGGCGCGGACATATGCGGACGTCGCCACTAGGGCCTTGGGTGGAGCCCCATCTGGGGCGTCGAGACTTGTGAGGGGTGTGCCGACATGGGTGGCCCAGACGCATGCGGACGTCGCCGCAGGCACCTTGGGTGGAGCTCCAGATGGGGTCACGAAACTTGTGAAGGGTGTGGCCGCATGCGGTCGCCAGTGGGGCCTTGTATGGAGCTCCCTATGGGGCCACGAAAATTTGTGTGGTGTGCCGAAACAGTGACACGCGGAGGGTAAAGGCAGGAATGGGATGGGAGGAGGAGGGAGTGGAGGAGAGGGGAGGAGAGGAGAGGAGGAGGACGCGGGGCGTGGGGCGCCGTCACTTCAAAACGAGGACCCAACATCACAGTATGATTTGGAAAAACACGCTGCACCACCAGTTGTGTTTACATGGATTCGGCAACCTCGATCTCAAAATCCTTACGCATCCTAAGAAGAATTCCGGCGTGCGCGTGCGACGACGCGAGAGTGTGGACGTTATCCAATTCTTGTGCAAGGGACGATAAACAACTGATGCTTTGTCGTAAACAAGCCTGCGCGCAAAGTACTTTTTGACAGGGATGAGGGGGGCAATCGAAAACAGCACTCCCCCGGATGGAAAGAGTTCATGCTGGAAATGAAAAGTCGGACATCATCATAGGTAAATCATTCGATCCCAGGGGGACCTGATGATCCAGGGGGGTGAATCCTACATTCTCCTTAGGAAGGAGAATGTATGGGGTGCAATCGTTGCGGCGCCATATATGCAGTGCAACCTATGTTGTGCAATTTAGGGCGGCGACGAGGCGGCGACGGGGCGGCGACGGCGACAGCATAGCCGCCAGACCGACAGACAGGCCCAGACAACGGGCGGCGACGAGGCGGCGACGGCGACAGCATAGCCGCCAGACTGACAAACAGGCCTAGACCACGGGCGGCGACGAGGCGGCGACGAGGCGGTGACGGGCCGGCGACGGCGACAGCATAGCCGCCAGACCAGCAGACAGGCCCAGACGACGGGCGGCGACGAGGCGGCGACGGGGCGGCGACGGCGACAGCATGGCCACCAGACCGACAGAAAGGCCCAGACCACGGGCGGCGACGAGGCGGCGACGGGGCGGCGACGGCGACAGCACAGCTGCCAGGCCGGCAGGCAGGCCCAGACGACGGGCGGCGACGAGGCGGCGACGGGCGGCGACGGCGACAGCACAGCCGCCAGATCGACAGACAGGCCCCGACGACGGGCGGCGACGAGGCGGCGATTGAGCGGCGACGGCGACAGCATAGCTGCCCCACAGACAGACAGGCCCAAATCCTTAGAACAGACTTAAGGAGCCTCAAAGCTGGCACTGATTACGGAAAATGGCGAGAGCTTCTCGAGCGGAACGCCCTACCGACATGTCTGGGGGTGCAACAGGGAGGAGTTATTTGCTGGGGGTGCAACAGGCAGATGGGGACGAGGAGAAGGAGGGAGAAGGAGGGAGGAGAGGGCTCGTGCGACACCTGCGGCAGAGGCAGTGCCCTGCCCGACATCTCTGGCAGACCCCACGCACGGGCAGGCCAGGAGATCGCGGCACGGAGCTCTCGAGATACAAAAAACACGCCCGACCGAGCCGAGCGAAGGGCCGAAGCGCTCTGCGCATCGGAGCAGTTCGCCCGGTGCGCGTCTAGAGGCCTCCTCGATGGGGTCCGAGTGGGTGGGATCGGAAGATTGCACCGCATCGCCGATGCATCGGCGATGCATCGGCGACGTCGGCGTGGAGAAAGTCGAGCTCCACATCGAGCCGCACCGCCAATGCATCGGCAACGCATCGGCGATGCGGCGCGATCCTCGGACCCCATTTGCTCTGATCCCATCTGGAAGGCCCAGAGCGTAGCGCGGCGCCTTCGTGAGAACGATTACGGGTTATTAGGCCCCATTGCCCAGATCTGCGACGGCATGAGCTCTTTAGCTTGCGGTGGCTCCTCGACTTCAGCCCCTGGGAGCCGCTGTCGGGCCCCGGGGCCATCCTGGAAAACCCTGGGGAAGGGGTCGGAACCTCCAGTGACCTCCCAGATACTACGGCGAAGGCGTTGGATAGGGGACCGCTGGATAAGGAATCCAGGGTCTGGAAGCCCGTGGAACGCCAATTGAGGCTTGGCCATGGATATCAACGCCGCCCTCATCAGATAATGAATCCTGCAGTGTTTGGACCCTCCTGGCCACATTCCTTCACCAACGCGCCCCCCGTACTAAGCCCGAAACAATGCGGTGGCAGGCCGTGCAATGACCTCGGCATCCCAAGAGACCGCGCCGCACGGTCCGTCACCGCACAGTCTAGGGGCCCGGGAGGCCCCACTCGCCCGAGACATCCTCGGAGAGCGACCCAATCCCCAAAGCCGTGCGGCGACCCCGAATCCCTTCCGACTCACCACACGGTGCGGTCACCGTACCGTTTGGAGGCCCCCGATAAGCTGGATCAGGCTGGATTGAGCCCTGGAGTAGGCCAGGCTGGGCAGAATTGGGCGGAGCTGAGCAGGACTGTGCCAGACATGGCCTCCTCCTTACCACGGACATACCGGCGCCGATGCTGAGCTTCACCTCCAGGGAGCTGCAGCCAGGGGCGCCCGTGGGTGCCGCCGTTGTCGTTGGGCTCCACGCGAGTTTGGCCTGGCCAGGGCGCCCGCCTGAGGCGGGGGCGACTGCCGAGCAGAGGAGAGGGCAGAGGAGTGCCCTCCAAAAAGGGAATCGGTGCTGCTCCGTTCTTCGGCAGGAGGCCTGATCGAATTTAGACTGGCCTGCACCGGAACTGCGACCACATTTGCGCAGCGGAGCTCGCGGGTTCGCCGAGGAAGGTAACGAGCACGAGGAGGCGGCGGAGGAGGAGAAACATCTGTACATCAGGATCCGCCTGTAGCGAACCAGAAATACATAGGCGGCATGGTAACCGTGGCTCGGCTGGCCAAGCTTAGTTCACCATGCAGGCTCATGGACGATGATGTTATGGTTGATTCGCTGGCCCCGATCCAAGGGCGCTGGCCTCATGACGTGAGGATTTCTAAGTTTCTCGGGTGCCGCTCAGATTCTCTGAACGCCCCGCGGGGCCTGCTTCGGCGGGGGGAGGGGGGGCGGGGAGAGAGGGGAAAGGAGGGGGGAGGAGGAGGGAGGGGAGGGGGGAGGAAGGGAGGAGGAGGAGGCCACGGGGGAGGAGGATTTCTAAGTTTCTCGGGTGCCCCCCCCCCGACAATGGGCCCGAAAGAACGTCCTCGTATGCCCGAGTCCTGCTCTCTCGTGCCGTCCTGACCCCCAAGGAACACAGCGGCACGCCCGCATGGTGCTGCCTCGGCCACTCGGTGGCCGAGGACATGCGTCGCGCATGCCTGGCGACGCTGGCGGCGGTCGGACAGGCGAGTACGGGAAGCACTGGGGCTCGGGTTCCCGACGGGGCCCGAGCTCGGGGCGAAACCTCCCTGGACCTCTGAACACACGAGGCCATCTCTCGGGGGGCGCATCGGGTATCTGACGTCCGCCGGCCTCCTCCGCCCTCCTTCCGCCAGTGGGCCCGCCCTCGCTGTACCTCCGCCGCCCTCCGCCAACAAAAGAGGTGCCAGCTCCCTCGACGCCTCGGAGGCGGGGCCATCTCTGCGGGGCCCCGCGTGGGCCCACACCCCCCGACGCCTTCGATCGCAGCGTCTCCGGTGCTGTGGGAGCCTCGGTGGCCCTGAGAGCATGCGCGTGTCAGCGTCAACGTGTGCCTGTCCACCGAAGCCCTCCCGTGCGACGCAAGCGGCGCAGGCTGATCAGAACCAACACGGGCTGCGTGCCATCGAGGGAGCTGAGCGGGGTGAACGTACACTTTACCAGCCTCGAACGTACCCCTATCCCTAAGATTGACACGCCAAAAGGCGATGACAATCTTAGGGGTTCGCCCTCAAAAAATAAGGGAACCCCTAAGATTGGCATCGTGATGAGGAGGTGCCCAGCATAGGGATAGGGATATGTTCCAGGCTGGTAAAAACTGGGCGAATAGATTCCGAGGATCATCAAGCATCGGCCCATCTTTGCGGCCGTCGCCAGCGCGAAAGTGCACAGGGCTCGCAGGCGCACCCGGGGCCGCGAGACACTCGCGAGGCCCACAGCTTGGGCACGGCGGGGAGCGGCCTGCTGTTCGAGCTTCGTCCACCGCTGCTGCCTCCTGATGTCGCCTGCGGCTGCTTGCGGGTCCTCGGCGACGGCTACAGTTTGGACGATGCCAGCCGTGCACCAGACCAGTTCGGTGCACGTGTCCGCGCGTGCTGACACGCTCGGCGGCGTTCATTGAGCTGGTCTGGTGCACGGTTGGCGTGGTCCGAACAGTCGAGGCTGATTGGACAGGACACGCGAGAGGACACAAGGCCCCTCCGAGGGCCATACTGCCATAGGCATGCAACACAGGACACAAAGGTACCTACCCTTGATTTGGCAGGGCCGATCGACTGTACTGCTGCTTGTCGCTGCGTGCTGTTGTTCCTGCCGCTCCAGCATTTGTTTCGTGCCTCTGGGGGCCTCTCTAGGTGCACCGTGTGTGTGTGTGTGAATGTGTGTGTGTGTGTGAGTGTGTGTGCGTGTGCGTGTGCGTGTGCGTGTGCGTGTGCGTGTGCGTGTGCGTGTGCGTGTGAGTGTGCGTGTGCGTGTGCGTGTGCGTGTGCGTGTGCGTGTGCGTGTGCGTGTGCGTGTGCGTGTGCGTGTGCGTGTGCGTGTGCGTGTGCGTGTGCGTGTGCGTGTGCGTGTGCGTGTGCGTGTGCGTGTGCGTGTGCGTGTGCGTGTGCGTGTGCGTGTGCGTGTGCGTGTGCGTGTGCGTGTGCGTGTGCGTGTGCGTGTGCGTGTGCGTGTGCGTGTGCGTGTGCGTGTGCGTGTGCGTGTGCGTGTGCGTGTGCGCGTGTGCGTGTGCGTGTGCGTGTGCGTGTGTGCGTGTGCGTGTGCGTGTGCGTGTGCGTGTGCGTGTGCGTGTGCGTGTGCGTGTGCGTGTGCGTGTGCGTGTGTGTGTGTGTGCGCGCGTGTTCTTCTGGCTTCTTGGGGCATGTTGCGCAGTCTTGAGGCCTTCTGCCCCGTTGGTCTGCCCTGTTCGGCTGTCAGGGAGCGCCTTGGAAGCTCTCTGGTGCCGTATAGGACGCCTCTTGCGGGGTCTCTTGGGGACATCTTGTGCCCTGCTGAGCCGCCTTAGGAAGTCTCAAAGCCTGGTAAGGGCTCGCCGAAACCGTCTCCACACGGCCCTCGGCCGTCTTGAGCCTCTCGTGGGCAGCCTGCGACCCCTCTCGAAACCTTTTTGGGCAATCCTGAGCCGTTTGGGGCGAGTGTTGGGGCGAGCGGGGTCGCCGCCGAGCCCTGCGAAACCCTCGTGGGATCGTCCCTCCAGCAGTCTACAGGAGGGGGGGGGGCGCTGAAATAAGGAACACTACAAGAGGAACGAAGCTCATTTTCGGCGCCAGCAGCGCCTCGGTACATGAGGAGGGCTAGAGGAGCAACCGCGGAAGGGCATTCGGAACAGCGAGCCCCTTCCGGATCCAAAGCGGTCCTTACTTCAGCATCTCGGCTGTAGTGAGAGCCTGGCAGTCCGAAAACCCGAAGAAGCTAAACCCGACTGGGGAAAAACGTGCGAGCTTAAACTGACAAAACAAATGTGAGCTGCCCGCGCCGTCCGTGCCGCTTCTCGGGGCCTCTCGTTCGTATTAGGTCTCTTGGGGCCCATGGGTCCATGCAGTCGAGCTTGATTGGGAGGGACGCGCGAAAAGACACGAGACTCTCCCGAGGGCCGTACACTGGAAGCCGGTCCACAAGAAACCTTCCACAAGAAGCCTGACCCTGAGACCCCAGGACGTCCATCGATTGTTAATGTGGGAACGTCGCGCCTTCCACAGCAAGACCATCGAAACCCAAGAAACCCAGGGCACCCTGGAGGCAAGCAGGGTGTGTCTTGGCATGGGCCTCCACTATTCGAGTGTGACTGGGAGGGACGCGCGAAAGGACACGAGACTCTCCCGACGGCCATATCCTCCCAGGCACGCAGAGGACCTGGGCCGCGAGACACAAGACACCATTTTGCGTCGGCGGCTACGCAGAGGGTCCGCGCTGGCGAATTGAGCAAAACGGGACACGTTAGGCGAATTCAACCACTGAGCAGAGGTGGAGGGAGGAGGACAGGGGCGCCGGCCCAGGAGGGGGGGAAACACAAGACACCAAGGGCACCCTTGGCTTGGAAGGATCGACCTAAAATTCAAACTCGACCTTCCTGGAGTCTCTTGGAGGCCTCGTCCGTCTTCCTGAGAATCTCCTCCTCCGGGCAGTGTGGGCGATTACTTCGCGCCTCCGTTGGGGCCTCCTTGAGTGTGACAAGCCTCTCTCTTGGGCTCGGCGCTGCTGCTTGAGACGCTCGCTGTCGTCTGCGGCTCCTTCTTGCCTGCCGTCGTGCTGCCTGCTGCTGCTCGCTGCTGTGTGTCACTGGATGTTCCTATTTGCCAGCACGGCCCCACCGCAGGAGTAGAAACCAAAAAAGTATGGATACCTCTACTCCGCGGACATCTCCCTGGGTGTGTTCAGACCAGGATTTCAAGGCGAATCCAGCCGTGTCGACGAGGGCCTCCCAGGAGGCCCGCAAAGCAGAAAACGAGAGAAGGGTACAGAGGGGCTTCTGAAACAAGGAACGTTAGCTGAGGAACAAGGCCCCTTCTCTTGCAAGTCGAGCCGTGAAATCCGAAGGAACGGCCGTAGAATCCGAAGGAGCACCTCAAGGGGCCCGCCACCAAAGAAGCCACGGAACGCACGCAGACCTAAGGAACCGCCGAACCCCTTCCTACCTCGAACTGGACCTTATTTCAACGAACTGATTGCAGCGGCATCCGTACCCCTCCCTCCTCTGAGCAAGGGGGCGCACCTCTGCCGAGGCAGCGCTTCACTCGACACCCCGCTGGCAGAGCTCCTGCCGCCTCCACCACCGGTGGGGCAGGGCCTCCCGGTCCTCCCAACAGACCGGGGATGCTCCACAGCGCCCGATCGGCCTCTCCGCCTCAGGCGGGAGGGCTCAGGCGAGGCTAAGCAGCGCCCAAAAAAGAAAAAGATTAGAGAAAAAGGAGGAGGAGGAGGAGGAAGAGGAGGAGGAGGAGGACGAGGAGATGAGGGCAACGTTCGGAGAACACTCTAGCCATCAGGACCCGGGAACCAGAAGGACGAGAAGGACGATGAGGAGGAGAAGGAGAAGGAGGAGGAGGCGGGGAAGCCGGCAGCCGCTCAAGATGGAGGAAGGAAGCACGGCATAACCATAAAACCGTCGGAGATCCGCGCTGGAGGTGCCGCCAAGGGGGCCCATCGCCGATCCAAGAAACCCGCGCGAAACCTCCGAACATTTCTGTTTATGGCGTTTCTCTTCTTCGATATGCACGCCGGTACCTTGGCGTGACCCGATGGGCACTGACCCACCTCAGCCGAGGCGCCCGCGAGCTCGCGAGTGTGAAAGCGCTGGCGGCCAAGCGGCCCACGCGGCGCCGAAACGAAGCGAACCGGGGCAAGTGTCGGCGAGTTACAGCGGCGGCAGGGGCACACTCAGAAAGACGATTTTTGGGCTGGGAGGATGGGGCTGGGAGAAATGATCTCATCATCCGTACTATCGCGTATGCTGAATGGGCTTGTTGCACAGTTGCGCCCTGTATCTTTCCGACCCCTTCCTCCCAACACAGTAATTGTCTTCCTCACCCGCGCAACAAGAGCGGGGAATCGCTCAGGAGCGCCCGCGCGCGGCGGGGCGCGCGCGCGGAAGGAGTGGCGCAGCCGGAGGCGGGGAGGGAGGGCGGGATTTATGGACGGAAGGAGTGGCGGGAGGGGGAGCGAGAGGCTCAATGTGCAGAAGGTGGAGGCGAAGGAGGAGGGGACGAGAGATGAGGGAGGAGAAGGAAGACAGCAACAGCACCAAAAGAAAACGGTTCCCGCAGACTCTCCTCGTCCTCCTCTCCTCCTGCTGCTCCTCCTCCTCCTCCTGAACCTCCTCCCGCTCCTCCTCCTCCTCCTCCTCCTGCTCCTGCTCCTCGTCCGCCTCCTCATCCTCCTCCTTATCCTCCTCCTCCTCCTTCTCCTCTCCTTCTCCTTTTCCTCCTCCTCCCTCCCTCCTCCTCCCCCTCCTCTTCCTCCCCCTCCTCTTCCTCCCGATCCCCCTTTCCACAGTTACCCCATGTGAGTACCACCCCTCAATCTCACCACATTCTGTGCGAGCGGGGCCCTTGTCTCTGCATATGTCATTGCACTGGATTTTCAAAACGTGATGTGGTGTATGGCTTTTCAGATCGGCATTTCAAATTTATGCTCCCGCTGGAGCGTTGGCCTCATTCTAGGATCGGCCCTTCGCCGCCGGCGATCAGAACGGCGCTCTCGCCCCAGCGCGGGCCACACTTTTGGGTCCGGGTCTTTCGTCGTCGTTGTCGCCCCCCCGTTTCCCATCCTCCGCCTTCCTCTGGTCCTCCTGCTGTCCTGCTGCTGTTCCTGCTCCTGTTCCCGCACCTGTTCCTCCTCCTCCTCCTCCTCCTCCTCCTCCTCCTCCTCCTCCTCGGTTCCACGGCTTCACGTATGGGTACACAGCCCATGCGCCAAGCGACACACGAAAGTACAAAAATATGAGCAGGCCCGCCTCTCTGGGCACTCCTCCTCGCTGCATCTGCGCCTGCCTCCCTGGGCAGAGCCGCGCGATGACGAAGCCACTCCTCTCTCCCTTCCCACTCTACGCCCAGCCCATCCCGCGAGAACGCGGCAAGCCGTGGCAGAACGTGCTTGCTCTAGCATTCTGCTTCTGGGGATGGGGAAGGGGAGGTCAGAGACCCTCTGCAGCTACACAAGCCAGAGGGGCCCAAACGTATAAACGCACGCACGCCCCACGCACGCACAACACAGCCCTAATACTCGAAATGGGCCCTTACCACTTCGCTGAAAGCGGTAACCATCTGTGCGGATACCTTGCTGGCCGTGTCGGCGTTGTACACCACAGGCGCACTACTCGTCACGATTATGTCAGCAACCCTATTCAAGAGAAGGTGACGCTCACACTCCGGAGTCTCCATCAGAAGATGCTGAATGTGTGCAGGTGTGCCATAGTCCGCTGAGGCGGTGTCTGAGAGACTCGTGGAGCCATACGTCGAGTCATCAGCTCCAGTGTCGAATGTCTCAGCCCCGCCTCCATCAGCATGCAGGTTGGGCTGCGCCCCCTTGGTCTCCAGCTCGCTGCGATGCACTGCCGGCCACTGCTCTTGCCCGTGGCTCCTCCCAGAGAGGTCCTGCTCGGGCATGGTGATGCCTGTGCCAGGAAGCTCGCCCTCGGAGAGCTTAGCGCGCAGTTCCTCCACCTGCTGCTTCAACTGCTTCGTCTCATTGTTTGCCGCGGCCTTTGTCGACTCGCGCTGCTGCTGCAAGTCGGCTAACATGGCCCGCGAATCTGAGACACTGGCGTCGCCCGCCCCGACGATCGCGACGGTCCCCTTGGCAAGGCCGGACCCTGCGTCGAGGCTGCCCGCATCGCCACTGCCCGTGCTGGCAGCGCTCACGGACGCAGGTCCCCGCAGGCCTGCGCGCGCCAAGTGCTTCTTCTTCGCCTTCGCTTGGGTCTCCGTTGTCATGCCATGCTTGCTCTCGCTGCACCTGCTGTCAGCGCCGCAAGCACCCTCTGCTGCATGTCCCCTGGAGGGTGGGCGCAGGCACGTCGCCCAGCCCGATATGAAGACCACTCCTTGGCGAGGTCTTTCAGCCCATTGTCCACGAGTTTCTTGCGCACTTGCTCTGTGGTGGCGGCCTGGTCCAGGTCCATGCAGCTGCCAGCACGCCTCAAGGTGCCCTCGATCTCGTTCAACACCTGGCAGGGCTCGCACTCCAAAGGATCAGTCTGCTCCGAACCTTGGAAGATGGCTGCCGCAGCCTCCGCGACCGCATGGCGCGTGAGGTGCTCCTCCAGCTTCCGCCGAAGCCCCGCCGCCTTGATGCCCTCGAGCAGGGAGGAGAAGGCCGCTGCCTGCAGTTGTTCCCGCCCCATCGCCACAGCTACCAGGCTGCAGAACTACTCAGGAAAGTAATGAAACAATGCTGAGAAATACACTGGAATGTAACGAAACACTGCTGAGGAATCCGTGTGAGCGTGCAGAAGAACACTCGAGCCCAAATGGCTACGGACTCCTCCTCCTCCTCCTGCTCCTCCTGCTCCTCCTGCTCATCCTCCTCCTCCTCCTCCTCCTTCTTCTCCTCCTCCTCATCCTCCATTCCCTTCCCTTTTTTATAAAAAGAGAGGAGAAAAAAAGAAGAAGAAGAACAAAAAAAAAAAAAAAAAAAAAAAAAAAACGTATCCTGTCGCACCCCGAGGCCAATTTTCAGGGCGATCCAGGCGTGTCGCGGGAGACTTCCTCACGATTTATGACTCTGGAGCTTCAATATTGGCAACAGCTTCACAGATGGAGGTCGGGTGGTGTTCAAAATGTGGCTCTCGCTTTAGCGCGGCGCACATTCGCTTTAAACATGTACAATAGTTTCACGGACTGAAGGCGGGTGGCTTTCAACATGCGGCTCTCGCCTTAGCGCGGCGCACACTCGTTTAAAACATGTGCAACAGCTTCACGGATGAGGGCGGGTGGTTTTCAAAATGTAGCTCTCGCCTGAGCGCGGCGAACAGTCGTTTTGACAGAATCGCTAAGGATTCACGGATTGAGGGCGGGTCGTTTTCAAAATGTGGCTCTCGCCCCAGCGCCGCGCGCATTCCTCTACCGAAATCTCAAGGGTTTCACGGATTCCCATCATAAGCTTATGGTGTTTGGAAGGATTCAGGATAATGCGGGTGCAACAGTTACGTTGATTCTCTGTCCTGAAGTCCTTGGGATGGCGTTCTGGCGCGATTCAGGATCGTCAAGGCGCAACAATCAGGTGGATCCGTGGCGTTGGAATCCCGAGAACAATCGTTTGGCATGCTTCAGGGTCTTCAAGCGGGTGTCTCCCAACGAGGCCGTTCCATCAATGGAAACGAACCGTTGTAGGGGCCTGTGAAGAGGGAGCTTGGAGGGATGGTTTCCTCCAACATCGTTGATGACTCTTGGGTTTACACTGGTTCTCCTCCTCCTCATCATCCTCCCCCATCATTCCTCCTCCTCCTGCTCCCCCTCCCCCTGCTCATCCATTTGCTCATCCTCTTGCTCATCTGCCACCTCCCCCTCCATATGTTCAAATGTACACAGATCACTCAATCGGCTTGCGCAGAACACGATGGAGTGATTTTGGGCGCTCCAAGTCAACTAGGACACCCATCAGACAAGTCAGTACACTTGGAAGGGGTGAATTGG